TCTACTAGCTTCTTGTTACTACTAGTAAGGCACCTGTTACTACTAGTGAGGCACTTGTTTCTACTAGCTTGAGAAACTTCAGAAAACTTGAAGAATCATGAGTTGTTTTTCACCGTTGTTTCTGATGTTTTTATTCGACGGTGGCCCAGTCGAACGGGACCAATTTTTGTACGTCGAACTGTCAGGGGTATGGGCCTGGTGAGGGTTTGTGTACGTGTTGAAACCAGCTGGTCCTTTTTGACCTTCGAAAGAAAACCAACTTCGATTGAATGAGCAACCGCCAAAACATGCAATGACTAATTTAATAAAGAGTGGTCGTGATTTTCTGGAATTGGGCTAAAACCTGCAAAAGCGATAGGCACCCCCCTCAAAAGCGAGAAACTTGCTGAATCATGTCCTCTACTTGACAGTACGTTTTGACAGACGCTCAAATGATGTTGTTGCAAGGGTACACTGAGGTTGGAGATGTGTACCCTGGATTTATTTTCCCATGAACAGAGCAATGAGCACCCCCTGTTCCAAGTTCATGAACTGCTAGGGTGCTGGAAGATCAGATCCCGAGTGGCCGGTAGATGCAGTTGATGAAGAGAATCAGACAGACAACGAAAATCCACCCGCAAATGGTCATTGGATTAGCCTAAATGTTTGAAATCGGTTGCCTATGCATAAATATGAAATATGTGTAGTATCTGCAGTGCCTATCAAAGCAAACATGGGCCTGCAGGATGACTTAGCCAAGAGCTCCGGATCGAGGTATCTCGAGTGTAACGCCGACTCTGTAAGTCCAAGATCATCAAGGACATTGGATTTCTATAGATTTAGCTGTATTAGATAGATACGCTGATATGCACCATTTCATCTCAAGTCCCAAAGTGTCGAAGACAGATCCCCACAATCGGTTCCGCCAAGGTTCTTCACCGAGAAATGGCACTACACCATCATTGATGCCCCAGGCGCGTGGCCGGAGGGTGGGTGGTGGTGCACTGGGCCAGCCAAAACCCAAGCATAGGTACCATGACCATCATGACCATGACAGGTACAAGCACCATAACACAGTTTGAGCCCTCATCAGTTTCAGCCCTCACAATTCACCATGCGTTGGATCAAGATTTGAGGTTCCGGTGGATCTGAGAAACGACATATGGCTTTTGCTGAGTGGATCAGAGGGAGCTTGATCCTGGACGTGGGGCGGGTAAGTCGGAAACCACATCCGGGCGGGGACAGTGGAAAGGAAGTTTGCTGTTTACGGGATTCCTAAACATCTAGGAACCAAATCACTAGTGCGAGTGCGAGTGCGAGCGCTTCTTCAAGGAAGCTCCTCCGCCTGAGAGCTATCCTGCGTCCTAGCTAGGAGCTTTCTATTGCTAGCAGCTTACGACCCCCTTACTTAATTAAGTAGTTAGGTGCCTACTTAATTAAGTAAGGACGGGAAAACAAGATATATATTATATATATATAACATAATTACATAATTAACATCAAATAAAGCATTTAGAAATTTAAAGTAAAACGCTGCTTTGCTGTTTAACAATGGGTGGCCTCTTCAATTGCGACTGGTCGGATGTTTGGCGGATGGGTGGTCGTTCATCGGATGCTTTGGGATATCTTCGAGTTTGGATGTTGTTTTTTTATTCCTATGTTCCTTTTTTTAGAGCGGGGGGGGTAGGCCATAGAGGGAGAGAGTAGCCAGGGCAGGATAGCTCACGCTTCTTCAAGGAAGCTTCCCCCACCTGAGGGCAGGGGGGAGCTTCCTTGAAGCAGCGCTCGCACTATTCGTTTGGTTCCTAGATTTTTAGGCACACTGCGATTTCAGCAATCTTGGCTGATGATGAGCTACAGACTTAGCTGGTTTATGAACTGCTCACCCAAGAAGCTTCCAACCATGCCATGCGTCAGCTTCTCATCAAGATTTGTAATAAACCTTGTGCTTTTTAAAACCTCAGGGTGTACCCAGCCAGCTACTCAACTGCCATCGACACTGCAAACTTTGCATGGAGTGTTTGTCCAAGAAGATGCAGACTCTCCCTGTCAAGGCAACGTGGAAGAGTCACGAATTTCACAACGCGGCCTTGCTACTGAAACTCCGCCAGCACAACCCACACGTTGCGTTGCCACACTGGCGGCTTCCTTGCCATAAATGATTGGCTTTCTCACCTGGAGCTCATCCCATGAATGTCCAAGTCCAACAGGTGGTGTGGTATTTTGAGTTGTGCAGGCCATCGTGACTTCATCAAGAACATGATCACTGGTGCCTCTCAGGTGCTGGGGTTGTACAGGTCGTTGCATGCTGCAGAGGGCAAAGAACATGATAAACACAGCAGTGTCGGTGTCACCTCACTCCTGTTATGTCAATGTGAACTCGCCGGCAAAAGGCAGGGCAGCTGGGCAATAACCTCAGAAACATCATGAGGCAACAACCTCGAAGTGGCAAGACCTTTGGTATCCCCGATCGAGTGGGATTTGGTCAGCAGGAAATGATCGGAGTGAGTCAACGGGTCTAAAGTCCAACAGCTTTGAGAAACGGTGAAAACATGTGAAAATCTATTGTCAGAGGCCATAGCTCTTAGGTTGGAGGCCATCACTATTAGGTTCCTTTAAGACAGAGATGGGCAAGATTGGATTCTGAGGGCCAACAGACTCAACAGACGGTTTCAGGAGATGTGAAAGCACGAGTCCATGGCCTCCAACCTAAGAGCTATGGAAGAGACCGTTTCTTGAGATCGAGTGAGTCTTTTTCTTGGCATCTCAGTCATGAGGTAATTGGGTCAAAACAAACAGCTTCACCAGCACCTGGAGGAGGAATGAGTGACAGCCAGGTTGGTCAACAGGTATACGTATTGTCACATATTACTTTGATATATTGTATTGAATATAGTAATGTTGTTTATCTAGTATAGTATATACAGCTCATTATACTAATTATCAGACGCCGTTTCCTCTCAAGCCACTGAACCTAGAGTTTGGACCATTTTGATAAGTTGAAACCCTGTGAGGAAGCCTGTCACTCCTGGCTTGTGACAGGTCAACTGCTTGGTCAGTGAATGCATTTTGTCCCAGAAAAAATCGTTCAAGCCGCAGGCCGATGTGGCCCTGATCATGGTGCCGGCCGATGGAAACTTCACCACCGCCATCGCCAAGGGAAACCACAAGGCCGGCGAGATCCAAGGACACCGAAGGGGAGTGGATCTTTTGGAGCGAGCACGTTTCAATTGGGAATCGCTTCACCTGTAGTAACAAGAAGCTACGAAGGGAGCAAAGGGCATTTCTACGAACGGAGCAAGGACGCTACGAACGTAGCTCCTGGCCTCACTACTAGTATCAAGAAGCTACTAGGAACAAGGGCATCGCTACTAGTAACAAGAAACATTTTAGCATGTCTTTGAAGCTTTCTAGCAATAAGAAGCTACTAGGGGCTCCTGGCATCGCTACTAGGAGCAAGGATGCTACTAGGGGCTCCTGGCCGTACTACTAGTAGCAAGGACGCTACTAGTAACTACAAGCTTTCAAAACGGCTTTGCGTTGGAAAGAGACCATCTTAACGGACGAACATGGACCGAAGATCTAGGAGGCTGTCTAACACCTCCAGGTGAAAGCATCAAGATTCATCGAGTGAGGACGAAAAAGAGATTTTGGGAATAGAACATCCACCAACAAACGTCAACATTTGAAGCTTGGTTTTGTTTGCTTAAATCTGTTTTGTAGTCCCTCTGGAAAAGGACTGACTTGAAGCAGCTCCATAGAGCCCCAGTGACTCCTGCTTTCGTCCTCTTCCGCTCTGAGCTGCTCTGGCGCGAGGACAGACTCGTCAGCACTCGCGTCTCATCAATTTGTTGGGCGTGAAACAGATTTGCATCGGCGTGAACAAGATGGACTGCGACACCGCAGGCCAGATTCGAGAAAACAATGTGTCTACTTGGGACGTGCATGGGGATAATGCATTGTTGGTTGTTTGTTTTTGGTTGTTTGGTGGTGGTGGTGGTGGTGGTGGTGGTTGGGCTGATGTCTGGCAGTTGTAGATGAGAGATTGCTGCAAAACTGCAAAAGTATGGATGACAGATTGCCGCGTGTTTGATGTCACCATCCTTGCAAGAAGTAGGGCCAGTTATTTTACTATAAACTTGTTCTACTATTCAACTACTACTACATTGCAAGAACAACATTCTGTTTCAAATTTTAACTGAGTTTTGGAGAATCGTCCACCAGCTTCCTGGCAGCCACATAGCCACATACGAGGCTACAAGCAGGCTCGCTACGATGAGATCGCCAACGAGATGAAGAGCATGTTGGTCAAGGCGCACATGTTGGTGGGACCTCACGAACGGTTGATTGGATTGACTATAATTGATATCATAATATATCATATATCATCTACAATATTCTAATCCATCCAGATACATAGAGATAGTCGATATACTCTTGAGCATTCCCGGACCACTCCACAGCTGGTCAGGTTGGCTGGAAGAAGGACTTCATCGAGAAAAGCACCCCCGTGATGCCCATCTCCGGCTGGATGGGCCACTGGGCGGAAAGGCGAGGACGTGGCCCAGAATGAGCTGGCAATGATCGCGGATCGCACAAGAAGTGTGCTTTGTGTCATCTAGGTGCAGATTTTGTCATAAGTATTGCTTTTAATATTGAAATATACTTCCTTTTTACTGGAACTTGAATATATTCAGATAGACCTCCTCCGGTGGATAGACTTCCCCTTCGGTCAAAGTCTACGAGGTGGGGAAACAGAATTGTGAGGCACACCGAAATACGGTAGAATCGTGCGCCAAAAAGATGGTTTTCTATGGTGGACGTGGGTAGGGTGGATGGCCTTGTTAGACAGTGGACGGTTCTTGTTACTAATAGCTTCTTGTTACTACTAGTAAGGCACTTGTTAATACTAGCGATGCACCTGTTACTACTAGCGAGGATTCCTTTAAACGTTTGAAACAACACGAGCAAAGCCGGGCAAAGCGACTAGTTCACGGATGATATGCCATGAGGGCAAACTTCAGTGACCACTTCTGGCATGAGAAACAACTCATTGTTCAGTAATAAGGGATAAACATCCCTCTCGTGGATCCTGGAGCGATGAACAAAGGTGACAACTTGCTGAAGAAGTCTGAGAACATGGGCTGGTGGAAGGGTCAGGACACAGTGAAAACATGTGATTTTGACCGAACGTTTCGGCCGAACTTGTCTCAGTCGGCCCAGAGTCAAGTGTAGACCACTAGGTGCAAGAGGGATCGTCTTTTCCTCAACAGATTCCCCGAACAAGAGAAGGAATCGTGTGGGGTAGATCTGACACCATTTGATTGCATAGACCGTTGTTCGACTTCTAACAATAACAGGTAAACAACAAGGCAAACCGATTCATCTACAGATTCGCAGAGACATTTTTCAGGGACGGAAACAAACGAGTATAGGTAGGGGACGCTACTAGGAGCAAGGGCATCGCTACTAGGGGCTCCTGGAATCCCTACTAGGACGAGCAAGAAGCTACTGGGGGACTAGGGGCGCTCCTGGCCTCACTACCAGTAACACGAGGACGCTACTGGGGGCTCCTGACATCGCTACTAGGAGCAAGGACGCTACTAGGGGCTCCTGGCCGTACTACTAGGAACACGAAGCTACTAGGAACAAAGGGCATCGCTACTAGGAGCAAGAAGGTAGTAGTAACAAGTGCCACGCTTCTAGTAACAAGTGCCTTACTAGTAGTAACAAGGTTCGCTATTAAATTGATAGCTTTTTGTTACTAGTAGTAAGGCACCTGTTACTAGTAGCGTGGCACTTGTTACTACTAGCGAACCTTGTTACGGGCATCGCTACTCCGTTCGATGTTTCAGGACGTGGAGGTGGGCAGCGAGATGATCCACGTGGACACCGTCTACGACGTCTTGGACAAGATGTGCCGTGTACCGGAGCGTCCGATCAGCGCCCCAATGCGCATGCCGATCAGTGGCATCTACAAGATCAAGGGCGCCGTGGTGAGAAAATACATGAATCGGGATGAAGATGGTGCGAAGATCGGGATGTTTAGGGAAAATACATGGCAAGCTTATGGTGTTTAGATTCAGAATTTGTTTCTCTTGGACCCGAATCATGTGGCAGACACATGCAACTGTGGAAAATACAGTGCTTGAGATGGTTTGTCACTTGCTACTGAATAGCTAATCAAGGGTGCCTTGAACCAGAACAAACAGTACGGGGGTTGGCACAAGGCTCGTAACGCTTCCTTCGGACATGCAACAATCATCCCGTTGACCACTTCGATTGGATCTGCCGAACTACTCGGTCAACTACGTCGAGGAAAATTCCCGCAATAAACGTTCAGATCGGGTGTCTTTGTGTTGCACTGGTCCAAAAAATTGGAGATTTAAAACACACTTTTCATATTTATTATTGTTTCATTTTTAAACACATCATTTCTTATTGTTTCTTTGCATTTTTGGACGGGTTTCGGTTTTTTTATTCATTTCTGAATCCGACATTTCTGGACCAACTGGGATGCGAGATGGAGGAGACACACACAGCCGTTCGGGAAGACCAGGTCGGACGTTCTTAATGAAAACCAAGGGAGAAGATCCGAGAAAGGAACCATGTCCAATGGCGATCAAACATTTGAGATAAGAACAAAGGAGATGGCCCAAACAAGATGAAATAAACGATGTAACTTCGGAGATGGATGCCTTTTAGATCTCCATTAGACTCTATTCTCCCGAAGTGGCCACGCAAGTGGGCGATCCCAGATGTTGGGATTCATGTGCATAGGTTCTTATATGGACAAAAAGGACTTGTTCATTTGAGCTCAATTAGATAGTTAAACAATCTGGAGATCTATAGACTTTAAACGTAGAGGAATGAAACACACAGTTCTATTTCCCCAAAGAACTTACGACTTGCTCTGGTTGAGCGTTTGGGACACGAACATCACACGGTGGGTCGTCCGAGGCGTGGGTGATGTGCTCGCCGGACGTGTCGAGCAGGGTGTTGTGAAGCCCGGTGAAGAGGCGAAGCCGAGATGTCTCGGACGAACGACGCTACGTTCACTGAGCAAGGGCATTGCTATTAGAAACAATTTGAATTGACATTCAATTAAATCTAACTCGAATTTCATTGGAATTCAAACTAAAAGCTACTAGGACCTTTTCGCGCCGCGCCGCGCGCGCGCGCGGGGGGTGGGGTAGGAGCAAGGACACTACTAGGGGCTCCTGGCGGTACTACTAGGAGCAAGGACGCTACTAGTAGCAAGAAACTATTACATCTTAAGCCTGGGGGCGGGTTATATACTCATCCCCACAAAACGGGATTGGATCATTGGTTTGCAGCCAATTTACACCAAGAAATCTCCACCATCTGGTGGGGATTCAAGTGCGACTTTCGCTCGAATGTAGTTGAAGTAGACTTGAAGAGCGGCATGCGGAGATGAGCCGTTTGACTGTCAAATGCGGTTGCTTCGCAATGGGCCGGGAAGAACACACACCAAGGAGCGGGATTCAGGGTGGATCTCGGTGTGCATTACGCAATGCAAGTTAGACCTTGGCTGATTGAACGGAATGGTGATGCGTCAGCGGAACAGAATTGTTTTAACACGGGTGAAACGGACTTAATTACATACAATTGCAACAAATTATGCAGGTACGTCGGAGTGATCAGCTCCGATATCCTCCCAAACTAATGAGCAGCTTCGTTGGCAGGCTCATGAGTGGGCGCAGTAGGCCCCCTGCTGAGATGTGTGTCCCTAAGAACGGATGTTGACACACACACACACACGTACGTACGTGCATACTGCCTTACTAATCTCTACGAACTAGATGTATTTGGCACCAAGTCAGACCTTGGCACATCCTGTTTCGTTTGTCTTTGCTGATGAACTTCGGATTGTGACGGCGCCCAAACATCGAAGAACAAGCACAGTTGACATGTCCGTGTTTGATCGTCATTCTCAGTCTCAAGATTCTCAAGTCTGAGGTTCTATCATGTTCTATCTACTATTTTAGATTCATTTAGATGAATTTCCTCGCCAACCTTTGGTGCTGGACCAACCGGATTCATCCCGAAGCACGGAACCGATGAGTTTTGGCCAGGTGGTCTTCCTGCCGACGCACACCACTAGCAACCCCTGCAGCTTTGGATCAATGGCCGGGGGGGCACCGATGGTTCTCAAGGCACAAAGGTCGCACCGTTGGAACAAGGATGCTCCTTGCAACAAAGGGCATCGCTACGAACGGAGGAAGGACACTAATTACTAGGGGCTCCTGGCCTTACTACTAGGAGCAAGGACGCCACAAGTAGCAAGGTCGCACCATTGCTTTTCCCTAAACATCTAAGAATCTAGGAACCACATGAATAGTGTGGAAGAACTTCCTTGAAGAAACGTGAGCTACCCTGCGTCCTAGGAGCTAACTTAGCCCTTACTTAATTGAGTGGGCGCCCACCTAATCAAGTAGTAAGGGTGCAGAGCGGGCCAAAATATAAACCTTGGAGGCCATCGCTACTAGGAAAAAGAGGAAGAATGGTCTAATATAGTTTGCGAGCCCAAGATGACCACCTCAATGACTGCCTCGGAATTTGATCGTTTGGATCGTGTTCCGTTTGGGAAGTCGCCACCGTCAGGCACTGGAAAGGTCTTCACCGTTGAGATGCACCACCAGCGTGTGGACTTTGCCAACCCAGGCCTCGAAGGGTGGAGGGTGGTGAAGAACATCATGGTGGACGGCTTTCTACTAGGAACAAGGACGCGACGAACGGGGCTCCCGGCAGCTTTCTTTCTTCATGTGCCGAGCTGGGTTCTTCTGCGCCAAACGCGATCGCAGACACCTGCGGATTTCATTCCGGTGAGGCGAAGGGTGACCAAATCGACCAAAGTAGTCGCAGACACCTGCATCACCGAAGGGGACCCATCCTACCGATGCTTCAGACGAAACAAGGCATGGGACTATGAAAGCGACACCGGGTGCATGTTGTATTTCATTTCTGTTCGGCATCAGATGGTGACGTTTTTCGAAGGCGATGCCCTTGTTACTAGTAGCATCTTGCTACTAGTAGCGATGCAGCTGTTACTAGTGGTTTCTTGAAATGAGAAAAAGGTCATTCGGGGCTGGGTCACATCCTATCTTGCCGCGGTCTGAGGCGACAACGTGGGATTGAACATCAAGGGCCTGGACAAGAACCTTGCTGAGCAGATAGTTTTTGATCTTCCCGGATCTGAGCATGCTCCAAACACCTGTGTGTTGCTGGCTTTGATACTTCAAATTGTTAAATCCTGAAGCGAACCATGGAAAACATCTTCCGTAGCTTCGTGGGTAGACAAGTTCAGACAGGCAGAAACTGCGGCTTGTCCCCAAAGAAGTTTCTTCTTTCTCCCCAAAGAAGCTACCTGAGTTCCCGAAAACGACAGCCCTCTCACCTGTGCCGCCCCTCTCACCTGTGTCACCTTGGGCTTCGTGAGGAACAACATGCCACGCTCCGGAGATGTCATGGTTTACAAGAAGGACACGACCTTGGGACAGACCAAGGAGCCCACCACGCGGCGCGTTTTCGCGGCGTTTTCACAAGGTGCAGGCTCTAGAATGCAGGTGTGCTATGGTGTGCTAGAATTTGCGATGAATGCTTTGGGATGGTGTTTGGTGCGACGTTCAGTGGTTGGACTTATGATATTGGATTTAGTGTTGGCGTTGGCTTGGGAACTTTTTAAAGGCCGCTCCCCCTTAAGTGAGCGGGTGACTGCACGGGTCGAGCCCACCTCTTCATCCCGGCCGTTACTAGTAGCGATGCCAGGAGGCCGGTTCGTAGCGTCCTTTGCTCCGTTCGTAGCGATGCCA